AGCTTTGAAAAAAATCTCAAATATAGTGAAGTCAAGTCTCATACTATAGCTGTTTCTTTGTCTCTGCTTTTTATTAGTAGTATTTTCCCTCTGTCTCACAGATTTTTAATTAGACATACCAGTTGTGATAAAATAGCCAATGCTAAAATGCTTTAAAAATTCGTTGTGTGTTTATCACACATCAAGGTGATTTTTTCTTTTGTTTTTAACAGCCTACTATATATAAATACACAATTCTGAGAGGGATATTAAATGGAATCTATACAGTTACGTATGAAAGCAACTGCTGTCTAAACTAATGCCAAGGGGTAATTACAGCCTAATTGGCTTGGCTCGTTTGGCATGTCATAAATGTTTTTACAATGGTTCTTAGCAGACGAAGAGTCAGAAAACAAATTTCTGCAAGTTGTGGAGAAATTGCTATAAAATAGTGAAACACAGCTCGTTAAGGCCTTCCTAAAATTGGTTCCATATTCTACCAGCTGTAATGTTCAGAATCCATTTCTCTGAGCTGCAAATGCTATTTGATTGATGGACAAACTTCTTTCTCTAATACTCAAATTATATTTCATCAAAACTCCCAGTATACAACAGCGGTAAAAATGCTGTTCTTCAAGCAGTGAGTTAACTTTTCCAACATGAATACTAAGCCCACTGGAGATTATATAGGATCCATTAATTTGTTTCTTAAAGATTTAGCATTAAACAAAGAAAGGACCAGTGAAACCACTATATGTTCTTCTGTGAAACGAAATTCTGCGTTACATAAACAAAGGACAGTGATTTGTCCCTCTAACTTGCTGATTATGTAGGACAAATTCCACACATTTATCACTTACTTCTCTAGACATAACTTGTTCAAGAAAACTAAGGATTTCTTTTAATCGGTAAAACTGAAAAGAATGTAAAGGAAAATTATATTAACAGCAGTCACACCATTTGTTGAAGCAGAGCTATAGGTAATTCTGTTTCCAAGGAACAAAGTGTGAATTGTACAGGACACAGGAAGAAAGCAGAAATATATGCTGCAAACTTCTTCACTAATGGATGTTTTCTGGTGACCTTAGACAATGGAGTTCCTTTTCATGATGCACTAGGCCTGAAGGTACTCTCAGGAGACTTTAAGAAGACAGTATTGTTGGATAGCACATATTGCTATACACAGTGGAAGAGAGGTTTTTCCATTAAAGGCAGACAGTGTCATACCACTCTGCTCAACTTTTCCAGAAAAGGAAGACCTTTCTCCATTTTCAGCCATTTTCTGCATCCTAGGGGAGTTCTAACTAAACAGAAGGAGAAAATAGCTGGAGAAAAGATTGGAAGTGTGACAGCTAAATACTAATTGTATTCAATATAAATACAGAAGCTGTCCAAAGATAAAAACTTGGCACTCATAATTTTTGGCATAGAAATTCTTCTGTCCTGATGGTCCCTTATACCAATTTAAGCATGCATTAAATAATAGCAATATTTATCAGTTGATGACAACAGAAACCAATAGTTACAATCTACTGATTTTAACCAATATTTTTGTAGTATAGCATACTGTGTCTCCAAACCTTACAGCTAGCAAGGACATTTTAAGGGCATCTAATTTAAACAACTAAGGTAGAAGTCCTTTTGGGACAACACATTTATGTCAGTAATATGTATATATTTGATGTAAAATAATTTTCTTTTCCTTAAAATCCAATAATTTCTACCAAAACAGTTGATCTGCAAAATTATAGTTTTATTTGGTGATTTTTTGGGGAATATTTAATAAGTTGATTGCTTTACTTTTATGTATAATGTTTATATTAGGTCAAGAAGAGTTCCTTTTTTTCATTTCTATAACTCTACAATTTTTATCAAGTGTTGCTAGTATTGGTACTTTGTCAAAGTGATGGCAAAACAATAAAAAGTGATGTCTAAGTGGAAATTTCATTTCTCTTTAAGTTTACAGTTATTCAGTTTTACTCTGGATATATCCATTTGAGAATGCCAGATAGTCAAAGCTCATTAATTTGACTCAACATAGAAACTGTTTTTAATATTCTGATACTCTTAAGTACACCTAATATCTCAACAGCCAAGAGAAAAAAATCTTGAAATTAATATTGTTTGTCATCTACTATGAAAATCCATAGTGTATCTCAAACTGTTAGATTTCATGCTTCAATTTTATGCTTAAATTAGAATTTAATTATTCAAAAGGGGTCACATTCTTCAGCTCTGTGGCTAGAGTTCCCAAGAAATTTCAAGGATTATTTAAATAAATTGAGCTCCTGAGCTTGAGACTTGCCCATGAGATAAAGAAGTGGCTATTTTCAACATGAAACTGGTACATGGCATACATGCCATTCAGAAGGCAATAAAATCTGCCACTAGACAATAATTAAAGACCTCTGGATAAAGGCAAAGAAAGGAAAGGATTTCAATTGATTAGACTCCAACTTTATTCATTTAACTCATCTGGGAAATATCCAGCAATAATTCTTCCAATGAAGGTCATAATTCTTCTTTAATTGTTTCCACCTGGTACCATACTGTCATCAATCCCCTGTTCTCCACCTCTCTATACTTGGCTCTCAGCCCATCACTCATGCCTTCCTAGTCTATCCTTGCACTAGTGTTAAGGGGCAAGGGCAAAGAGGTTTTGTTTTGCTTTTTTTTGTTGTGACAGACTACAGAACCTCCAGCATTGCTTCCTCCATTGCTGGATGCTTTCCCTGTATTCAGTCCCTATTTCTGTTTATACCACCTGAGAACTAATTCCTCCTGTTTCTGCTACAGTCTGACATGCTGAACTTTTCCTTATAACCAACCCCCCATCCCCAGGATTCTGCAAGGTAAATTGAAAATTACCAACAACTCTTGACTTCTCTAACTTCTTTTATGCTCCTGTCATACGCCTGCCTATACATCGCCCCTTCCTTACCCCAAAAAATCTCAAACATGTAATGAAAATCCTTTAGCAGACAAAAATCTTCATTAGCAAATTAATGGACAGGCAAGAGAGTTAAGGCTTATTAACTCAAGCATTCAAAGACAGTCTACAAAGCCAAGATTGGTATACTTAGGTAAGCTCAGTTGCTTAACACACTAACCCAAGGTGTGCCTTGCCATGTTCCCAGGTATCCTGAGGAGAAAACAGGAACTGTGAGAGCCTAGAGAAAATAACCAGGGCAAAGGTGACCTCTTACTTCCCTTCCCAACACATTGCTTTTATGATTTCAGCAACTTCATTTTGGAGAGTCAGACTTTATACATAAAATCTGTACACGTTTTGCGACTAGCCATTTTTCTCTGAGAAATTTTTATCATGTTGCCTCACTACAGTATGGATTATGAATGGAATTTAGATTTTGGAACATAAATGCAGTCTGCACACTAGTAAGCATACAAAATGTATAGTAAATATGTAATGTTAAGGCAGTAAACAGTAATCATTTAATTTGTATTTTCAATCAGAATAGGAAAGAGTGATTAGTAATGGCGGTGTATCTATTTATCCAGGAACACAGACTTGGCTAGACAGGAAATTTTGTACTAGTGGAAGAGCATTTCACAATTTATTGATTTATGTCTAAACTAAATGAGAATATGTTCTATTGCTCTTGAGGTGGATGACATGAGACTGAAGTAGGTATTTTAATATCCTGTTTAATGTCAAGGTAGAAAATTAGGTTCTTCCTTAACCTTTGAGTTTTAGTCATAAAAAGACTGATGGTTCAGGACCTCCCAGCGTTTGACAATATACCGTCTATTCAAATGGAATGGGCTGTCAGCCCGAGGCTGGCAAAATCCTTAGCTGTTTATGGAAAAAAATGTTTCCTGCCCATTGGGTTGTGAAGGTAGCTCAATAATTTTGAACAAATTCATGCAAAGCTATTTGTACATGCTTTTTATAGGTATACAGAAATTGAAAGCCTGTGTAATAAGATTTATCTAGTGAGATAGGTTATATACAAAGAAAACACATAAGGAAAAAATAGGTCCTATCAGAAGGGAAAAACAAAAACGATTGAACCGGGAGCTTCATGTTTTGGGACAAATACATTGCCCTTCCCTTGCACTTACACTATTGCTGAAAAGAAAAGTGTTATCTATTCATATGAAAGGCCCTTTTTGTCTACCTATGATATTGAAGTTAAAAAGGATCCGATCATATATTTGCAAAACAAACATCCCACACTTTCCATTGCTTAAGCAAATATGACACACTGCTAGTTCAAAAAACCAGATTATCTTGTGTGTTTCTGAATAATTGCACAACACTACCTGTCAGCAAATTGGTTTACGAGACTGAGTAATAGTGATTCTATAATTATTCTTCAACATTCAATGTCTTCTGGAAACCATGCTGCAGATCGTCCCCCTAAGATAGCTTTGATGTCCATGAGTCTTAGCAAAGTGTTTCTATTAAAAGATTGCCTTTCAGTTCAGTTTGTTTATTTCAATTTTTTGTATATACCACATTTTCAGCTCAGAGCAAGAAGATGAATAGAAATAAACAATGACATATTTACAATAGGAATTTAGTGGCAAAGACCTTTACTAAGATATTGTGGTTTCAATGCAACCACAATACAATGACAAACTTCCTTTGTAAATGACAGATCTAATTGTAAAATTAAAATTATAGTTCATGGGAAAAAATCCAAGTGTTAAAGACACTGCATGTTGGGATGTGGCTCTATTCCCAACAAAATCACCCCTATTATTCATGAATTGATTTGCCCTTTTTATCCCTCCATAATACGCAGCATTTATTTACCCTTACATTTTGAGGCATTACAGTTTCTGCTGACATGGGTATTTTCCTAAAATAGAACATTACAGCAGTCCCCTGATAGACGTTTAAGCCATGTGTATGTTTATTTTTTAATTTCTTTCTTGAACTTTCTAACTGAACAGACTGGGAAAGCAGAGTAGTGATGAATGAGAGTTTGCTTTAAAAAAAAAAAAAGAGAAATGTAGACATTTGATCTAATATTGAAAAATTCACAGCCTCCTACCTTGAAAACAAACATTTCCCGACGAAGAATAGCCAGAGTGTTGAAGTTCCCATCACAGATGTTAGGTTTGGCTCCAGGATAGGAAGGTTTGTCACCAGTGGGTGGCCGGGGAGGTTTAGGTTGCCTGTCATTCTTTCGTGGGTCTGCTGGCGGAACTGAACGATGTGGGGGCACGGTTGGCAGAGGTCTTGTTGGGGGTGGAATCCTGTCAGGTGGACCTTTAAAAACACAGCAGCAGGATGTAATATACATGCCCACTCAAAGGAAAAATACACAATAAAAAACAGCTGTAAGCAGTGCAAAACCTGCAGTGAAAGGGGAATGAAAAAGTGACCTAATATAGCTTTCTGATGTTATTAAATTGTAAAATCATAGAATATGCTGAGTTGGAAGGGGTCCATTATGATCATCGAGTCCAACTTCTGGTCTTGCAAAGGACACCCCAAGAATCACATCATGTGCCTGAGAGCATTGTCCAAACACTTCTTGAACTCAGACAGGCTTGCTGCTGTGACCACTTCCCTGAGGAGCCTGTTCCAGTGGTCAGCCAAGCAGTGGTTATAAAGGGTATAAAGAATGACTACCAAAATAAAGGAAAACAATTACTTTTCACTGTCCAGGATCTTCCTTATTGGAACAATATTCCCATAAAAGCTGCCAAGGATGCTTAGCCCACCATCATTTCAGATGAGTTCAAAGCACATTATTTATCAACCGAGCAAGACCTGTTATAACAGAATCATTGGGACTTGTACAAATAAATGAAAGCAAAAATCCTGTTACTATTATGATCATCAGTCAATAGATTTTCAACCCTTATTTCTAGCTTATGCTCATCAATTCATACATGTATGTATGTAACATACCTGACACTTACTACGGACCAAATTTTTAGACCAAGTAATGTCATGTTCATTAGCGACAAGACATTCCCAGTTTTCCCAAAGCCCCCTTTGTATATATAAGAGCTCTTAAAATTGGATCTCAAATTCTAGGCATCTATATAAATAAAACCTCCATGATTCACATATTTTCTTCAATATTCTGAAATTACTTCTTTTTTTTTTCTTTTTTCCCCAATAAGTCTTAAAAAGCTAGATACCTGGTAGTTAAAGGAATTGTTTTGTAGATAAATGAATTTAAAAGAACCAAAGTGGAAAACTAAAACTCTGTAGAGCAATCTTGAAACATTTTTCTTCTTCCAAATACATTGTCTATTATGATATACAGAGTTTAAATATATGATATACAGGTAAAATAATTCCATAATAAATATGAATCCCACTCATAATTTCTCTACCTGAAAGTCAAAAGGCATCCTAGATAGATGCTGATCATAATCCTAATTGTATACTGAATGACTTGCAATGGGTGTACTGAAAATATTTTTCTCTTTCTACATTTACAAATAATATTTAAATATATTTTTCACGTACAAAAAGAGGAAGTTTCAGTTGGATCAGTAAGATTTCTGGAAACAAGATGAACACTTTCATTTTGTTCATTCTGTTCAAGCCTCTCTCCAAATAATTTAAACACATAATACATTTCGACTTCAAAAAATAAAAACCATTTGCACCACCAGCTTCAGAAATACTTTTCAATAGTAAGACTACTCTAAAACTGCATAAATAGCATTTCAATTTCTGAGAATTTTACAAAAACACAAACTTTTAAAAGAACAAGATGGATTGTGCATGGAAATCTTAAACTCGCCAACTGGTTGTCATACAATTTAATAAGGCATTTATTTTATTCACAATTTTAAGACTTGTGACATTTATAATTTACAGTTAATAATGGTGTTTCAAGGAATACTGCAGACCAAAGTAATTATTTTAATAGGTGTGACATTTTTATTGAGGCATATGATTCCAGATCACCTTTTGATTTTAAAGGGAGCAAAGGAATCAGTTTTGCAGTAGCTCATGTTGGAAAGTTTTTAACCCCAAACCAAATTTTTTTATGCCATTTGGTGGTGATGTCAGATACTACTTCCCAGGGGTAACACATTTCTCCTAATGTATAGCTCACAGCTGTTAGAGCTTAGCAGCTAGTTTTCAGCAAAGTATTCTTGTCTAGCCCTTAAGTCTAGACTACCAACTTATGAGGTCATGAGAAACAACCTTCCTTCCAGCTAATCACAGAGGAAAAAAAAGCTTTGTTTGCTTGATCAGCCAATTATTTTGAAATTGCTATTTATTCTTTATGGAAGTAAATATCTGTGCTTGTTGTATGATATTTTAAAAATCTTTTTAATATAAAACACCGTGGATGCTGCAGAGTTCTAATTAGTAGTACAGTAATTCTACATGATAATAGTTGTACTTTCTAGTAGTAAAACTAAAAAAGGAATGTCCCTGAAAATATTCAAGATAAACATGACAAACCTTTAAGCAGAATAAATTGAGAGTACAAAATTGAATCCAATACAAATTTAATTGAGGAATATTAAGCAAATGATATGTACTGGATACAGAGTATTAACATAGAGATACCACAGATTTTTCACTACAGGAGAGAAAAATAAAATATATTTTTAAAGGAAAAACCAGAATATTTACCATATACCAACAGAATCAAAGTCTTTAAAACCAAACCCAAAACTATGTCTTTGGAAATTTAAGGGAGTAATATGGCAGTTAGTGTTACATTTAACCTATAATCATAATTATGTTACTGTTTTGCCTTTTTTTTTTTAATTTTCAATTACCTTGTCAAATGGAATTCAATAAATGCAGAATTTATTTACATCATGTGTCTTCAATATCAGGCCATGAAAAACCTAAATATATTTTAAAGCAGTAGGCTTTTTTTTTTTCTTTCTAGGTAGCTCAAAATCTTGCACTGGTGATAGCATTATTTTGAGATCAATTTGTTATATTAATCACAAGAAAGGGTTTTTCTGGGACCTCAGACTTTGTACAGCCAGGGGACTGTTTTGCATTTTAAATTATAAACTGAAAAACAATCAATTCATCCAGTTATATGAGCTTGGATTCCTGTACAAATAAGCTCATGATAGTTAAAGGCCTGTATTTCTTAATATTTTTATAGTTTGGAATCCCTTTGCAAATATTTTCTTTATGGATTTTTTTAACATTTAAAATTACTATTCCAGATGAGTGCAAATCTGAATGCAAGTTGTGAACAGTGAACAGAAACAAAGTAAGATAGCTTCACCAAAATCTTTGGATTATCTACTCACAAGGAGGACTCTGGCCCAATGACTGGTTAAGTCCATACTAACAAACTCTTTTGGAGAAGTGATATGGACAGTCGGAGGACCTCAAAGGTGTTCTGAAGCGAAACACTTGCACTGTCTAATTAAAGCATGACATACCATATATCTTCTGGATGCCCTGTAAATCATCATTAGGTAGTTTGAAGTTGTCAGTTTCCATATACTGGTAAAATGGAGCCATGATTGCAGTGGGATCATTAGAGTGCTCCAAGCCCAAAGCATGTCCCAGTTCATGCACCGCAACTAGAAAGAGATCATTTCCTGTGAAGAGAAGAAAAGGAAAAAAACCCTTTGAAACCATAAACATATTAACAGAAATAACACATGTGGAGGGCTCTGCACTTGCAAGACATTTTCACTGAATTTGAATTTCACAAGGTAATGCTTAATAATTAATAGATGAGCAAGGAGGCAAAGGATAATGTGGCAGCAAAAGCAGTTTTGTCTTTTTTTTTTTCTTTTTTTAAACGAGGAAAACATTATTTTTTAATGTATGATGCTGTTACAGACATCATAAACTTTTTTAACTGATGCACATGGTAAGTGTAGGGTTCAAGTGTCATAGCTCACATCTAGGCTTGTGTGCAATTTCTGACTTGAAGCTGATGCTGCAGTGAACCTGACTAGAAATGCTTTCATTAAGACATAGTTCTGAAAGGAAAATATCCTTGCTTTGTGTGTTAAACTTCACAAACCGAGGACTACCTATTTAGGACAAACTCCATAGGGAACTTAGTCATCCAAACACTTGTAATCAGACCCCTGCTGTATATCTGTTGATGTTGTCCATTTCTGAATAACCGTAACTGAAATTCTAATGAGGAAAATATGGGTGTTGTGCTATTCTTCTTAAAATAGGATGTCCTTATATATTTCATTGTGCAATTCCCTTATAAGTGTAGTTGCTTGCTTAAGTATTAGAATCTTTTTATTTTTGTAGGACTAAAAAAACCAAACAATAGACCAATTTAATTTTTTTGTTATTTCCTTCTAAAAAGTATCTTTAAATTTTTTATTATAGGGTATTTGACACAACTGGAAGATTTGGCAGTAGAATTATGGCACTCTGTGAAGCAAACACAAATCAAAGCCAATAAGATTGTTTCTAAAAGAGTTTCAAAGCTGGGCCTCTATGGTATTACTTTTGTCTATTTTTACTTATCTAAGACTTAGTTCTGCATATCTTTCTATGAGTCTTTCGTTGTAGTCAACTTGTCACAAAACGAGGCTTTGGGAAAATGTTTTACATCGGGAGAAAGATTCCAGTAAGCTGGAAAGGGTCACATCCAGAATATTGCTCATTTTCACCACCTATGGATGGGAGGAACGATCCTCCAGAAGTGTGATCCTGTCCCACTGACAAGAGAAATACTCTAGATTACCAGCTTATGCTGACCATCTAACTGTTAGATGGCTGGACCCAAAGGAAATTGGTGCCACCCACAGTAGGTAGTTTCTTGTTGAAAGAAAAATATAAATAATTAAAAGCCTATACTGTGGCCTGGTAGTCGCAAATTGGAAAAACAAAATGGTCAGTGCTAACTCTTGTCCTATATTCTGTAAATCCTTTGGGGATAGACAGTTATTTTCCACTGCTGGCACTTGATCTAGAAGTACTATAATATTAATAGTAATAATATTAAGAAGAATTTAGCAAAAAAAAATGCATATATATGTTACAGAACTTTGAGGACATAGTTGACAGTATTTCAATTTTTAAAGTCTTTTCTCTTGTTGACATGAATAAATAAACTTTCTCCCAAGTACATATGAAAGAGAAAACACTTGGCAGTAGATGTCTTCATGATGTATGGAGCCATGCTAATGTTTGTAAAATAAATGTTTGAATAAAAGCATGAAAACAGACACAAGTAAGACTCTGCTTAGTTCACAGAGTCTTTTCATACCTTCTCATTCTTAATATGGAAATATGAAAACGAAATGTTCTTGATCTTTTATTCAATGTAACTGTGCAGAAAAATCACATTTTTCAGAAATTAATGTGACATAATGTGCTTCCAGAAATTAGAAGTTTATCCTATCATTTATAATTATATGGTTTCCAGAAGTGTTTTATGACAGTATTTTTCTTAGATGCAGTTCTTTTTATAGTAAAGCAGATTCTCAATGTGCTGTTGCAATAGGTTTGCTAAGCTTGACTGTCCTGGTGACAAAGAGTCTCGATGTCTGAATCTGCCCTTTTATATGCAAACAAAGCTGATCTTGACATCATCTCATATGAATAATCCTCAGCTTCTATAGCTAACCTCAGCACTGGAAGTGACGCACAGAAGGAATTCTGTAAAGATTTTCATTCTGCACTAATAATGGACTAATTAACGTAATTTTGAAAAAATCATAGGCTTAAACTGAAAAGACACGAAAGAACATGCTACTATACTATAACTATTGTACTATGACAACATGTCTCAGATTATGTTTCCATTCTTTTCTGCATTTTATGGAAGTTAGAGTTCTAAACTGGGTTTATTAGAATGCAATATTTCTTTCCTTGGTATTAACTCAAATATTTAGGAAGCAACCTTCTTTTGCTTTTCAGACCTGTGATGGGCAAATTTGCCTCCTAGACCCATGCTTCCTAAATAATAATTAAGAATATTAAGTAGTCTAAGTCCTATATTAAAAATTGCACTCATAAGTTGGCCACAGTATTGACTGAACCATTTTCAAATAGTTTTTAATTAATAGTATTTATTCTACCACTATAATTAGGCTCGTTAGTATCAGTAGACCAAAAAGTGTTTTACATGCGGAATCCAACCTCTACTATTTGAGGCAGGACACCTGGGAACTTAACTTGTTATACTTTATAAAATTTCAAGAAACCACGGTTAACAAACAGTCTTGGAAGAGTCTACTGCTTCTATTTGTACCAGTTATGCAATGCGTGAAGAATTAATATATTCTTTGGTTATCAGTCCTTATTGATTCCCCATACAGATCTCCAGGAATTTCTGTGTTTTGGTCCATGTTGACTTTGAAAGGTGAAGTACACAGTAACAGGGAAATAAATAAACAGCACTTTCAGATACTGGTATATCTTCCTTCTGGGATCAGAGATAACGAGCATATGGTAGAGCGCTTTTAGAGTAGTGCTTCCAAATGACAGTGGGACCATGTCAGATAACAGATATTATGCAAGGGCTGGCTGTTTCTTAGTGTGACTTTCTCCCTTTGCCTTTTGAATAGGGGAGATTATGTAAAAATTTAAAAAAAAAAAAAAAAGACATTACATTCAGCATCTGACTGTTCCTCTGGATTCAGTATTTATTTCCACCCCATGCAATGCAACTTTCAGCCATCAGGGGAGCTATTAAGTGTGGCAAAGGCAGAGTAGCCCTTGAGCGAATGAATAAGGGGGAAGGGAGAAGGTCACAGGAAAGAGCTAGGAGCATAATATTCTTGCCTGGGGTGACAATGATTTAACAGGCAACATATTTTCTACTTGTAGTCAAATAGCCCCATTATTCACAACAATTTCCATCAAGAGTCATGATTGTCTTCAGGGCATCCTGAATTTAAACTGACCCAAATAACTTAATGCATTGAAACTGAGGTTTCAATTTAAACTAGCTCAAGATGTGAGTCCAATGCAGGTAGGACCTTATTATCTTAGTTTCCATTCTTCTCTCTGTGCATACGATTAGATTTCTCCAATCAGGTAACAATTACTGAGGCCAGCGTTGCTTTAGGGAGCAGACTTGCCCTGAGCATCTCGACATTACTGTAACAAACTACTGAGAGAGCAGGACAACCCTAAGTGCTCGCTGGCTCTTTCAGGACTGCATGGAAGTGTACTTGTGACTGCAAGGTTGATAGTAGGCCAACTTCAGTTCCTTGGCCAGTACTCATAGTAAGATGAAGGAATGTAAAGGCAAGTAAACATTCATACCAGCTCAGGCTAGCTTTGTTATCCTATTAACATTGGGTACTTTTTACATTTTCAGTCCCCATCATTGAAGGAGAGAGTCCCAAAAGATTCTATATTTCAGCATACATTATCCAAGTAGAAACACATATTTCAGTCCACTCAGCAAAATGAAGCACCACCACAAACAAGTTGAGAGTAACAAAGTTAAAATCCATATGACTCTGATGATTTTTAAAGTAAAAGTTGCCACTGAAGGATATACAATGGTGAATATTCTTTGTGAATAGCCTCAGTTACACCTCGTACTTATCGACAGAGTAGTACAAAAATATTAGAAAACATGTTTCACAAGTCCGAAATTTGTGCATCTCTGTTCTTGTGTTCTCCATTAGCATGGACATTTGGAATAGAATGGCTGTAAGCTCAAAAAGATTGTGATTTTTTTTCTTATTTTATCTCAAATTTGATTTCACAAGGGAAAAAATAAAGACACTGTGTGTAAAAACTAAGACAAAATTATTATTTTTATACTGACACTTTTCTCTGAGGCTCTAAACTATTTTAGGTACTAAATCTGCCTGACTTTACAAGCACTGCCCAGACTCCAGAATATAAATATGTATTACTATATCAAATATTCAACAGCCAGCACTGTGGAGTATGTTGTATGGGGAAACTTTTCCCTGTAGGTAATATATACGCTATTTTTCATGTCTACAGATAAACAAAGCTAATATGTTTGTCCATAGTAAGCTATCAAGAAAACCTAGGTCTGAAGATATTAATTCCCATTCTATGGTACCTGAGTTCAATTTATAAAAGCAATACCCTAGTGTCTTAACATGTGACCTCAATTTTGAAGACTTCTCCATCCAGAGAAAAACAAAAAAATCTAGAAACTGAATTTCAAATAATAAACTGTAAAAATACAAAGATGTTTTACACACATACACTCTTCCTTCCAAAGTCTATTTTACTTCATTTTTCAGGTGATGCAAATAGATATTTTCCAATTAAATCCACATAAATCTGAAATGCAAATCTGCACAAGAAAAACTTCTTTTACAGTCCCATTATCAACAAGTCAGTACTTCAAAGGCAAATTCACATCTAATCAGAAATATTACACACACATACTATCCATAAGTTTCTGTTAGAGGTATTCAGAATTTGCATTTTCATTATTCTGTTCATTTGTACCCCCATTTGACTCATTGAACCAATGCTGATAATCTCTACCAAATAAAATATCACAAACTCTAGAGTAAGGTTCTTACTCTACAAAGCATACAGAGAAGTGGAAAAAAAAAAAGTTTTGTATCTTTGTTATTCCCATCCTTTCCAGACAGCACAGAATTTGAACATGCTA